TTGTGAACTTTAGGAATCTTGATTTATAGAATTTATGAACTAATTATTAGGTTGAACTTTAGAAATCTTGATAAAATATAGTCTTTAACTCTTTATGATTTATTTGTAATTTTGAAACGATTTTTTGTAATTTTGAAAGACTTTATAAGTCTTTAAATTGTGATCTAGATATTTTTGAATGTTAATTTAAGTTTGTTGTTTTATATTTTGTGTAGCTTCTTTATAATGTTTTGTGTTTTATTGGGGCTGAATTGAATTGAATTGCTTTTGAAGGTGGGCAGCAGAAACTTTCTGCTGTCAAAAAAATTACAAAAAAAGCGACAAACATGGTGGTTTTGTCCGTCGCTTTTTTGGATTTTATTTTTTACAAAACCCAGAAAAGCGACGGACAGGGTCCTTTAGTCCGTCGTTTTTCTGGATTTTTCAAAATTTCATTTTCAGAAAAGCGACGGACAACGAGACGTCGTCCGTCGCTTTTCAAGATTCTAAAAAAATTAAAAATTAAGAAAAGTGACGAACTTTGTCTCTTTTTGTAAATTAAAAATAATAATTAAAAAAGCGTCGGACGGTGTCACATTATTCAAAAAAATAATTTTTATATAAAAAAAATAAAAATAAGCGAGCAATCCGTCACTTTTTGGCGACGCAGTCCGTCGCTTTTGGAAAAGCGTCGAGCCAAAAAGCGGTGAGATTAATTGTGTCGCTTTTGGCAAAAAAAATGACAGTTTTTTAGTAGTGAAATTGGCCAAATTGAATCAAGACATAGATGAAGCCACATTTGCTTGTTGTTACCTCGTAAAAGTGACGATGTAATAGATGGATTTTATGGGTTAGATTGGTGGATATTTAGGAATTGGGTTTTATGGATTAGATGAATGGGTATGATATTGAATTGGGTATAATATAAAAATAAGAGAAAATTTTAAATAGAACAAATATACATATATCCATGTAGGTGCGTCACTGTAATGTCCTATTTCTTGTGATTTTATTTTTAATTGTAAAATGATTATTTTACCCTTCCCGTAGCATTTTCATGCTTAGCTTGTGTTCGAGAATGGTTGATGAGGTTCCTGATGCGATCGGGTGTGTTTTCGGTAATTTGACCCCTCTTGAGTTGAGAATTCTTGATAGGATTGACTTCGGTCAACAATTTGAGTTTCGAGCTTCGAATGGAAATTTTGTCAGTTCCATCGTGTTCGAAAATGTTGTGTTTGAGCTGGTAGAGTGGCTGGTAATGTTTTCGAGGCCTTAGGTTGAGAGTTGAGTGTTTAGGAAAAAAGTTGATTTTTTTGCCTGAATGGGTTCCGAGGGTCGGTCATAACCATCTTTTTTTTTTATATCCGACAATTAGTTTGGTTCCAAAACATGTTTTATGATGAATTTGCACTATTGGTTCGTGTTTATAGAATTCTAATTGAGTTTCAAGGGTCAAAAAGATGTATTTCAAGGTTGTTGGTGAAAACTTTTAGTGGCAAAACAATAGACTTTTAGCGACAAAAATGGACTTTATAAGTTAAATATCTATTCGAACCTATTTCATATTTTTGATATTTTGGGAGCTAGAAAAGTCGGTTTGAGGTGATTTTTAATGCGTTTTTCTTTCATAATCAATGGGTACGTATTTCTAACCCTATTTTACTCTTTTTCCAAGAATATCTCTTTCATATTTCATGATTTCTATCTATTAAGTTGATATTTCAAACCCCAAAGTAGAGAAATAAAAAATTATTGATTTGAAGGTCAATTTGAAATGGGTTTTTATTGAATTTCAGAATTTAAGGTCCTTGTATGGTGGGTAAACTGATTTTGACAAAGTTTTTCCAAAATTTCTCATTTTGACCGCATTTCAAATGTGGCTTTTTGGGGTTTTTCTCCTAAAGTTATGAATATAGTAAATTCTTGATTTAGATCTCGATTCTCGCTTGTTTTTAATGGGTTTTCAACCACGAATACCTCTTGACTTGTAGAAATTGATTTTTAACTAAAAATCTGTTTTTACCCTTTTAATTTCTGAAGTGATTTTTGAACTATTTTACCCCGATTTAAAGTCCTATCAATATGGCATTATTGGACTCCTTTTGATGAAATCTTTCCATTCTTGATAGTTGAGGATCGTTTTAGTTAGCGTGTGGTTGAGGATTTGCTCCGCTAGAGTTGTTCGGATGAAATTTCAGCCTTGAGGTAGGTTTGATTTATCATTCTCCTAGACTGGGATTGGGTAATTGATCATTCTTATGTCTTAGATTATGGGAGGGGATCGTAGTATGATTTTGGATTGTGAGTTGTATTGTGTTGCCCGTGTGGAGACTTGATTATATTGTATTGCCCGTGTGGGGGCTTGTATGTGTTGTTTATCATGTGTTGAGGCCTTAATTGTTGTTTTATTTGCTTTGAGAGCATATGATTCATAAGTTCCCCGTGAGAGAGGCTTATAATGCTATTTGACTTATAATGCCCGAGTCAGGGGATGAGTTGGAAACTTCATAAAGATTTGAGTAAACGAAATGCTTTCTAAATGGATTTCACTTATTTCAAATGAACTCTTTCCTACTATTTTTCATATGAGGGTGTAGATGATGATTCAATTGAGTTTTGAAAAATTTAGATTGTTGATACATGTTGAGTTGATTATTGCCTCCATGTTATATATGTGTTGTGATGCATTCATCATATCATGTTCTTGGGAAATTGAGAAAAATATGAAGATTCCTTTTGAGAAAGAAAATGAGACACCTTCTTATATCCTTGACTACGTTGAGGTAGCAAGTTGATGAGAGATTGAGATTGTGATTTGGTATATGGATTGTGAGTCCCCCATGGGTCCTTGTCTGGAGCCTTAGCTCGACATGGTGTATATAACAGGTTGTGCGATAGCCTTGATCCCACCTTTCCACCACATAATTGCATCATCTCATTACACTACATTATTTTGCTTTCGTTGAGTGGCTCACTGACACCAATACCGATACACTAGTGAGTAAAATCGTTCTATCCTCCCAGGATAGAATCTATTCCTTTAAACCTATGATATTGGAGGGAAATAATTTACTTAAGGATATATTGTGCATTTAGTGACCCCATTTTTTTCTTTCTGTTTCATATTGCTGTTACAGGTCCTTCCTGTTCTCTTTACATTCATTAATTTTTGTTTTTGATTGCACACTTTAGACTTTGTTGTTTATGTTTTTCTGCAAAGTTAATGCTATATTATTTGTTAATACATATTAGATAACAATCTTAAAGAAATAATTGTTTTATTTTTTAGTCTGTATTTGTGGTTGGAGAATAAAGCATGTGTGGTTTTCTACTCCAATAAAGTGTGAATAGTGATTTCAATTTCATTGGAATATTAAAGTTCATACTTGTATACAACGATTTAAAAAGTATAAAAACTTTGTCGTTGTTATTGTGATAAGTTTGCAATTTTGTTTATTTCTTATTGAATCAAGTTTGCCAATTTTTGACAATGAAAAATGGCAATTGAAAATGTTACAACTTTTACGGTTGCTATTGCACCAACCCGAACTGATGTGTCACGACTTTGAAAAAAGAATATTTTCTTTTGGCTGAACTTGTTTCTCTTGATATTTAATTGCCAAAATTGAGAAAAATGAATTGCATGGTCCATGTGTAGCTTAAATCATTTCTAATTACTTTCTTTCTCAATCAATGTTGTTTGGCTCCACCCTTTATGCCACCCTGTGCTAGTATATTTTACCAGATTTATGTCTAACTTAAAAACCAAAAATTGACTTAAGGAACATCTAGTCTTCTAGATAAAAACGCTTTACACAACCATTAGGAATTGTAGTAGCAATATTTTAAAAATAAAAATGAAGTGAGCTACAAACTTTATTGTTAATTCGTGACTAAATCGCTCGTAGCTAATACTTTTCTTTATATAATCGATCTGATCCATCGTTAAATAAGATTAGTAACATATTTTGTTATTTAACTACAAAATTTGTGTTTTGCTAATTCCTAAGTTTTAATGTAAAAGCTACTATATATATACATTTATAAAGTCCAATATGCATGTTTAACTACATTAATCATATATGATATGATGTTTTCCCTTTTTGCAGTAAGCTCACGAGGCCACCTAGGCTTTATTTTTTAAGTACACTTATTGCATGTGAACTGTTTTCTTATGTGTAATATATAGGCAATCATCCCAAGTCCCCAACCTCAGTTCTATCATACTTTACTGTCTGTGACCAACAATAGAAATGATCTCCTATGCCACTTTTATTTACTTCAAATAGAAAAAGGAAAAGGAGTCGATTCCCTAAATGGTCACTCAAGTTTAGGGAATTGCCTTGAAATATCATTTATGTTTTATTTATGACCAAAATATCACTCAACTATCATTATTTTTCCCTAAATATACTCAACACTTCAAAAGTTTCACTCTCTCCTAGTTGGCATGCCATGTCATTGAAGTTTTTTTTTTTTTTAAGAATAGACTTATTTAATTTATCAAACTCATTTAACTAAAATAATGATCTTATTATTTTCTAAAAAGTATATATTAGTTTATTAAGAAGAAATTTTCATGCTTAAGAATCTCTTATAATTTTTTTTAATTTTTTTATGCTATGAATAATAGTCTTTTAAAACTTACTATAATGTCATCGATTATGAATACTTCTAAACACATATATTCAAAAAATATTGATATATAAATCACTCATGAATGTTAACTTACATCAATTAATCATATATTATATAATAGATCAATAATATTAAAGGTCAATTAACTATTAAAAATAATTAATTAGGTACTTTGAAATCCATACTTACAAGATTCTTTTTTTGAAAAGAAAATAGAAAGTGAATAATATTTATATTAGAAAATAAAATTTTGATCTTTATTTATCAATATATTAATCTCATATAACATGTATATTATTGAATTAAAATAGGTAATTCAATTATTACTTGTATTTCATGAATTTGGGATGAGATAAGAATATATATTGGTGTTTAATTGTATGATAAGTTAAAATATAATATAATATAATATAGCAATAAAAGAATAAGAATAAAAAATTAAATTAAAAAAAAAGTTAAATAATATTTTTTCTCTTTCTTACCAACCTTTTTTGTCAACCTTACAAATTTATTTGAATACATTTATAAAAAAAATTGCTTAAAATCTTCAAATAATTTACTTAGGGATTTTGAAAATTATCAAGTAATAATTGCACACAAAGTTTTTCTCATTGAATTTTGTTTGGTAAAAAACTACTTCTTTTTTTAATTTTTTTTTTATAATCTTCATAAATTCTCATGTAATAAATTTGATTTGTGGAGACACAAGTTTGATGAATTAAATAGGTCTATTATTTTTTAAGATGATGATTAATAACATGACATATCAACTAGAATAGAAGGAGACTTTTGAGATATTTAGTATTTATTTTTTTGATAAAAAATAGTAATAATATTATTCACTTTCTATTTTTTTTCAAGAAAAAAATATTGTAAGCATGAATTTTAAAAATAGTTAATTGAAATTTAATATAATTGATTCATTATATTATTTATGATTAATTGATGTAAGTTAACATTCATGAGTGATTTGTATATCGATATTTTTTTTGAATGTATATGTTTATAAGTATTCAAAATTAATGATATTATAGTATGTTTTAAAAACTTATTCTTCATAACATAAAAAAATAAAAAAGTTAGTATGAAGATTTATTCTTAATAAACTAATATATATATATATATATATATATATTAAATAATATGATCATTATTTTAGTTAAATGGATTTAATGAATCAAATTAGTCTATTATTAAAAAAAAAGACTTTAATGACATGTCATGTCATGCCAACTAGGAGAGAGTGAGACTTTTGAAATATCAAGTATATTTGGAGGAAAATAGTGATAGTTGAGTGATATTTTGTACCTAAATGAAACATAAATGATATTTCAAGGCAATTCCCTAAACTTGGGTGACCATTTAGGGAATTGAATCGGGGAAAAAACATAGATTTCTCCTTGAACTTGTCCCGAAAAGTCAGTTACACGCTTAAACTATCATGGTGACCTATTACATACCTTTACTATTCAAAAGTGAATTTATTACCACCCTGAGACGTGTAACACCACTCTCACATTATGTGGTGTATTACACTCGCTGCTACATCAACACTACGTCAGCGCCATGTCATAACTTATAATTTTTTATTTTGTTTTCTTTATTAATTAACTTTTCTTTTATTAACTATATTTTACTCTAATTAATCCCTAATTAATTATTTTAATTCTTTAATAATTATATTTTCTTCATCACTAAATCCCACCAATTTTCAATTCTCATTTCATCGGAAAATCATATCCGGCCCCACCTTCACTATTGATTTTGTTCTTCACCACCACTATATCGCCTTCAATTCTTCTTCTTCTTTGACTACCCAACACCAAATATCACCACCACCATTATCAATATCGATTTTTTCTCTTCACCACCTTCAATTACCTATTTTAATTTTTGTCACCCGCCACCCATCACCACCAAACCTATAAAGTTGCTATCACCACCAAACTCAAAAATTGATTAACAACCAAAATTTCTTTAACAAAGTCAAAAAAATGAAAAAGATAGAAACAATCAACCGAAATTTTTCTAGATAAAATACAATTATTCACTAACAAATCTATAGAAATTAACCTGATTGCGAATAAAAAAAAAAGTGCTTTTAGATTGTGATAAAAAAATAAAGTGTGATAAAAATAAAGAATGAAGAAGAAGACAAAGGGTGGGGTGTGAAGAAGAAGAGGTGTGGGGGTAGGGGTAGAAAAGAGGATTCTAACTTCTTCTTTTTTACTTTATTTTCAAACTGACGCGCCTATTTTTTATTTTTGTTTTATTTTTTTGCCACATCAATTTTAGCGGGTAAGAAAATTCACTTTTAAATAATATAGATGTGTAATAGATCACTATGATAGTTTAAGCGTGTAACTGACTTTTCGGAACAAGTTCAAAGAGAAATTTATGTCTTTTCTCAATAGAAAAAGAACTATCCTACAAAAAAAAATTGTCGAGAGTCTTAAGAAGGAAAAATGAAGTGAATGAAAATTGAGAAAGGGAGGGAAATGTAAATTTGAACAAAGTTTTTCTCATAAAGGATCAATTTTTGTCTGTTATTTGATTAAAGAGAGGATAATTATTATGCAGAGAAACACATTTTCTAGCTCTTAAAAGATTAAAAAGAAGACTTGTGTCATCATCGTCCCTCAAACCATTTCTTTTAGAAAGCAAATCAGCCCCTTGATTGACTTTTTTATAATAACAAAAATGCAAAGCTGTTTTGAAATTTGGATTAGACAAATGCA